GAGGTGTGTTATTCATTCCAATCAGTTTGCATACCAAGCTGGGAAGTCGACTCATCTGGCCTTACACAATCTAGTCAGCAGGTTGGAAAAGACTCCAGATCAGCGAGAAGTGGCACTCGTGGCTATTTTGGACATTGAAGGTGCATTTAACCGACAGCCCACTCTATCAGACATGCCTTGGTTAGGCACGGGGTTTGGATCGATCCTGGTAGATTGGGTCCTATCTACTCTGGAGGGTCGGGTGCCAACAGCTATGCTGAATGACGTAAGCTGTAGCATCAGCGTAGCAAGAGGCTGCCCAGATGGCGGAGTTCTGTCACCCCTACTGTAGTGCCTCGTGGTGAACGAGCTCCTCGTTATGCTCAGCAGTGCGGATGTCTACGTGCAAGCCTATGCTGACGATTTAAGCATAGTAGTTAAGGATAATTTTTGTAAAACTGTCGCTGAAATTATGGAGGGCGCTCTACGCTGTGGAATCGTGGTGTGGGGAAGTCGATCTTTCTGTCACTGCTGGAAAGACAGAGCTGATCCTGTTCACTAGGAGAAGAAGGCTTGATGGGCTTATCTTGCCGACCTTGTTTGGGACTAAATTAGTTCTACCCCAATCTGTAAAATATCTAGGAATTATCCTAGACTTCAAACTGAACTGGAGAGAGCATGTCGAATATAAGGTTAACAAGGCTCGCAATTCAGTGTGGCCATGTAGACATGTTGTCGGTGTAAGCTCAAAGTGGTACACTGGCTACACGACGATAGTACGTCCATATCTCTTGAATGGCTCCCTAGTCTGGTGGCCTTGCATTGGAACTGAGACAGCTAAAGCCAAACTCAATGAAATTGAGCATTTGGCCTGCATTAGCATCTCAAGCGCAATGCGAATAACGCCATTGAGTGCAATTAAGGCTCTGCTGGATCTCCCACCGTTGGATCTAGTGACCTGTGGCGAAGCGAGAGTAGTCGCTCATCGACTGTGGAGTCAAGGCAGCTGAGCTTTCTTGAATCCTGTCATTTTAGTCGAACTGCAAAGGGAGGACCCCGCCCTTCTAAGCAGGAGTGATCTCACTACCCCTAAATATTGCTTCGAACGCAAGTTTAATGAGGAGTGTCCAACGAGGGAGGAGTGAGGCACTGGTAACCGGCTCTGGCTGCAATGAAGGCACTAAGTGCCTGAAACATTACTTTGAGCCTTGTATTGCAATGCAGGACGGCTCTAGATTGTCTCGCAGCTAGGCATCCGGTATCATTAATATGGGTACCGGGGTACGCTTAGATAAAGGGCAATGAGACGGCGGACGCTCTGGTGAAGACAGGATCAGCCAGCAAGCTAGTTGGTTCCGAGCCAGCTCTAGGAGTGCCCGCGCAAAGAGTTAGGAGGAAAATGGAGGAGTGGGTTGCAAGACAATACTCTCATAAATGGAAAAGAATCTCAATACATCTCCGTCAGGCACGGGAACTCATTGTAGAGCCCAGCGCTAAGGATAGACGTTTCTGCTTAGTTCTGGATAGAGCCAACCTAAGGTTGCTGGTGGGACTGTTGTCTGGACATAATACGTTAAGGCGCCACCTGCACGTGATGGCGTTGGCTGAGGATTCCTTAAGTGAGCACTGCAGGGTAGAGAAAGAAACCTCGGTGCACGTTCTGTGTCGCTGAGCTACTATAGGCAGACTATACTAGAGTCCATTACTTTGGACTCTCAGGACATCAAGGAGCTTGGACTCAAGGCCATACTCAACGCTAGAAAGGCGAGGCGAGGTCTAAGGAATATAGAAGTGCATAAGTGCCCATTTAAGCGGCGTATGTGCTGGCTATTTATGGTGGCCGGAATGCCTCTAGTTTCATGATTCATTTGTTCAGATATGATCACTAAGCGATGACATAAAGACGTGTTTATTATTACATGGTAAAACTCTTTAGTTCTAAAACTGACTGAAAGCGGTGAGAGGATCTCAAGAGGTGTACCGCAATTGGCGTAATTTTAGCTTATCAGCAATAAAGTTGTCAGATAGATTCAGTATTACCAGAAGCTTATTCTTGATAGGACGTTTCCCATAGATACCAGAGATGCAACATTATAACCTCATATAACTTGCACCCCCTACTTCCAATCTTCTAAACTTACATTTTTTTTTTAAATGAACAGGAGTCTCTAAAACTTCAAAAAGGAAGTTTGATCGATTTTTTTTCCTGAAACTCCGCCGTCACTGGACGGATTTTCAAAACTTACAAAGCTTTTTTGTCCTTGGCAAGTCGTAACTATATAACAGATTTCCACCAAAATGAGTGACATGTGGCATGTACCATCCAAAAAACATAGTATCCCATTTTAGAGTTTTCTGGGATTACACTATTTCCTCCCCAACTGGCATGACAATAAAATTCTGATTTTGACGAACCAATCAAGAGATTGATACCGACCTAGTCTCACTCGTCGGAAAGCGCATGTGGTGCATATTCTAGACATCCATCCCAAGCCAATTTCTCTGCATCAAAAATGTACACCTTTGGGGCTTGATAACTTTTGAAGATGAGTCTCTCGAAGTTTGAGGTCATTGACACTTCTGACCAGCATGACAAAAGAGACACTTTTCATTGATTTTAGACTTGTCACAACCCATTTCCTCCAGGAATGTGCATCGCCTTTTACGGCCCCCGCAGACTGGACTTTCTATCGGCTGATAGTTTAGTCGGGTTGGGCTACTAGTGCGCACACCGAGTCAACTAAACTGTTTGGTTGGTGAAGAAAGTACCGGCTAGCCAACAGCCGGTCGACGCCGACTATTCCGAACGATGTTAGTTTGTATCTGACTGTTGAAGAAAACGGTCGCACAATTAAAATAAATGCTATATCGTCCAGAAATGTTATTATTACTCTCATATAACGGAGAAGAAAAATCAACAAGAGATTCCGAGAGTATTGGGTGCATCTCATTCTTAGTGATAGATTCGATAGTTTAAAATTTTACACAATGCATTCCAAATTCCTTGATTGCCCGAAAAAATACGACTGCCCGACGCCAAAGCTCGGAGCGAACTGAGCCATCGGCCGACTATACAAGACAACACACGATGTATATAATTCTGTGCAGATACTATAACACTGTTTTACGTGGGAAGACGGTGCCGCACCGCCTGCTTACGCTGCGCCGGCTTCGCTGCTGTAGCGACGCGCGATGGTGTCCAGCGCGACGCGGCCGCTGGTGAGAAGAGGGACTATCGTTTGTTGCTGGCTGGCCGTTGTTGCTAGAATCACCACGGTATACTATTCTGTGAACAGTAAGGGTGGTTGCGCTTATATATGTCATTGCGGACGGTGAATTACTTTACCGGGTTAAGGCATGAAGGATCCGTGGCATGAAAAGTGGGGATCCGAATTCTACTTCAACAGTATGCAAATTATGTTTACAATACTCATCAGGTGAAGACTAAATTGATTGAATAATGACTGTCCAGAAACTGAATTAAAAAAATCCGAAGCATGAAATAGTTGCTTATATCAGACCCGATGATTTTTATGTGAAAACTCATTCGCTACATTCTGTTACAAAGAAGTTAGCTCATTTTATGGCAGAGAACAAGTTATTGCCGCCGCGGCGGTAGGTGTCTTCCAGTTCTGGAGATTACTTTGTAATAATGATTTAGAAAGTATATTTAGAAATCAGCCATCACAATTTAAGTTAAGTTAGTCTTATTCTTTCTTAACCTTTTCCACCTCGTTCAGGTCAATCGGCCCTCTGTATGACTTGGCACGCACGCGGGTAGTGATAGTAAGTGTAAGCCATATACGAGTCCGGTCAGATAAGTACTTAATCTATCCACCCGATGGCGCCTCTAGCGCCAGAGAAATTTACTATCGTGCGTACATTCTCGTCGTCGGCTTCTGTCGAAATTTCACCCAAATCGGAATCGAAGTCTTGTTTTGACCACGCGTCGGAGCGGGCGTGTCCAAGGATTTTATAAAAATGGAAAAAGGGCAATATTGGTCGGTGATTCGACTCTTGCTTTTGGAATGGAAATCGCGCAGCGGAATCTAAGAGCGCTTGGAGGCTGTGTAGAGTGACTCTTCTCCTTCGCTGGCAACTGGCAAAAATGGTATGGTAATGTAACGCCTTAACGAGTTCCAACATAGACGCATATCGGTTTTTGATGAGCCTCGCCCAGGTGCCCCACAAACGGCTGCCATGAAGGATGACATGAGAAAAATCCACGATATCGTATTGGCAGACCGCCTATTGAAATTGCGCGAGATAGCTGATACAGTAAGCATCTCAAAAGACCACATGGGTCATATACTGCATGAAATATTGGGCTTGAGAAAGCTGCGTCGTTTCGTGACCGCCGACAAGACATGGATCCACAGGCACACACCAGAGACCAAGGAACAGTCGAAACAGAGAACTTAACCCGGCGAACGTGCTCCGAAGAAGGCGACGACTGTCCTACCGGTCGGAAAGGTGATGTCCACGGTTTCTGGGATTCACAAGGTACAATCTATATCGACTATCTGGAGGAAGGCAAAACGGCAACAGGGCTGTACTACGCCGAATTATTGGACACCGAATTGCAGAAAAAACTGCCTTATTGGGAGAAGAGAGAAGTGCTCTTCCACCATGACAACGCATCGGCTCACACCTTCGCTGTCGCCACGGGCAAATTCATCCACTATATTCTCCAGATTTCTTCTGCGTGCGACCTCTTTTTGTCGAATGAGAAGATTATTGCCGCCATGGAGGCCTACTTTGCAGACCTGCAGAAAACGTATTTTTCAGACGGGCTAAAGAAGTTGGAGCATCGCTGGGTCAAGTGTATCGAGCTAACATAAGACTATATTGAGAAATAACTTCCCACTTTTACAAAATTTTCGTTTTTCTTTTTTAGGGCCGCCCTCATTTTGTCTTCCAGAAAATAAGTAAAATCTGGTAACCCTGGGTTTTTATAATATTGTGCGCCTGTAAAGTGTATTCAGAACATTCTAAGACGTGCTTGTATTATTATTCCTATGAGTATCCTAACGTTATCCCTATTCTTTTCACTAATGGTGCGTTTTTTGTTTCAGATCAGCATATCTGTATATTTCGCCGAGCGTCGGCCTTTCATAGGTACTTCGTTCACCTTAGCTTCCACTTATCTGACTTACGCCCTGATGCCAAACCGGCTGAAGGATGCATTGCTGTCCGGCACAATATTGGCCGCTGTAGGGACCATACTGCTTGTACATGTAGGGAGATTGAATGGAGAGTTGGAAGTAAGTATTAGTCAGAGATAATACACAAGTCCCTTAAGGTGATTCGAAAAAGTCAAATATACTACGGTAGTTGCCTACAAATTCCACCACATTAAACAGAATAACAAGACACTAAAAGCACACATTGAATAAAAAAACATTGAAAAGTACGAGTTGAAATAAAAACTCGTCTATTGAGTAACACATATGCTAACACTAACTTGTGTACTTGATAGTAGAACCCCTCGTCGCTGAAGCAAGCTTGTGACATAGGGAGACAATGGCAAAATTATTGCGTAGGTTATAGCCGGACGAACTAATAATGTTACTTCTAGAATAAAAGTGTTTATAATTTTCTCTGACATAGATTACCTATTATACCCATTTGTTTGAATAAATATTTGCATGGATGCCTTGAATTTTTGATAAGTATAGTCAGAATTACCTTGTATGTGCGACGTTCTGAAGTCGATGTCAACATTTAGCGTAAGCGCCTGCAAAGACCCTAAAAGACTATTGAATGAATCAGCTAACTCTTTGACACTTAGCTGCGAACCATCTTTTCTTTTGAAACTTTCTTTATTTTCTCTTCTCTCTCTCTCTCTCTGCTCTTCTAGGGCCTGAGCCAGCGATTGGGATAGCATACAATACGGCTAAACAAATGATCTCTGCAGAGATGGACAGAAAGATCTATCAATACTGGACGGGATAAGCAGGATTGACCTATGCTAGGGCAACTATACCATCCTTGACAAAGAAGGTATCAGACTCTTTGCTACGGCTGAACAGGAATAGCCTCAAAGCTCTAGTAGGAGTAGGTACACTGGTCATTGAAAATTGCGTCACCACATGATCAGGTTGGGCATGGCGGAAAACGCTGAGTGCAGACTGTGCCTGGAAGGAGACGATACTGTCAAGCATGTATTGTGCAGATGCCCTGCTATTGCCAGAATCAGGTACAACATTCTTGGAGACGAAGTATTCCAAGCAGAAGACCTGAAGGATATTTCTCCACACAAGTTGATCGACTTCCTCAGGAGGTCGGAGCTACTGGAGGAAATATAGATAGGTGTTAGCCACATTAGACCAAAGAGTCGCAGTGGAGGATCGTGATGCACTCACAAGAATCCTAACCTATCATAACCTAACCTAACCTAACTCTACTAGTCTAGTGTGTCATTTAATTATATTCCATGCTGTGTTTGATGTTTTGGAAGAACTGCGGAATTTACTCTCTTGGTATATTTTTTTTGCTTGCTGGATTTTTGACTTATGGCAGAATCTTGAAGTTTTATATTTTTGGTATAACTCAGTACTCCATGCATACCTATAAGTATCGTATATGTCACGTATAAGCTTCCTCTGTAATTTTAATGCTCATCCACGACTTTTGTTCTGCCTTTTTCACCTTAGTATTTGTACTAGTTGCGGGAAATGCTTTATCCAAGATAACTACAAAAAAAATGGGGAAAATTTGGAATCGCAGCTTGCTTCACCGTCCAAGGAGCTCCAATTCTACCCTGAAATTGGATGCCTGAAAAAAGAAATGTTATTTTTATCGCTGAAAAACCTTTTCGATATATATACTCAGTGACATTAGGAGTGTTACACCCAGAACAATAATTTATTCAACTTGTTTTTTGGCAACATAATGACTATATTTAAAGCATGTTGTGAAAACATATCAACATTTTATCTTTATTTTTGTTTACCTTTGGTAAAATATTATCTCTCAGTTTTTGTGAAGAAAGCAGTTTCTGAGAGCTGAGTAGTACAGATATCGTTGGTTTTCATTTAATAGTGTTAAGCATAACAAATTGCCTCGAGTTCGAAAATGTCCAAATTATCATCATGTTTGAAACTTTGACAGGGGTAGAATTATTGCCTATCGAGATGCTGGTTTGTTCAATAGCGGAATTAGTCGCCGTGTTAATTGTACTGCAATGATGGTAATGCGAGTGTGTCGTTTGAATATAAGATGGTAGAGGAACACGAAGAAGGCCAACTGATCCACCGAGGCATACCTCAGAGTGACAAGATAAGCGCTTCAGCCCTAAGAGACAGAAAAAGGTAGACCTGTTACTATTCATACTCTCTATCGCCGCATTCGAGCATTTGGACCATTTTCGCACCATCCTTGGTTAGTTCTTCCTCTGACTGTGAACTTCTTCGTCAACGTTTGAACTGGAGCAGAGAACGGCAACATTGGGAGGCAGAATGGCATAATGACATCTTCAGCGAGGAATCGCGATTCTGTCTAGGTATGTATGATGGTCGTAGAAGGGTAAGAAGCTGCCGCCCCGGGGAGAACGGCGTGATATTGGATTTGCTGTTAAGAGGCATGTACACAGGACTGTTGGAGTAATGGTTTGAGGGGCTATTGCCTATGGTATCCGATCATCCCTTTTCTTTGTTCAAGGCAATATGACTGCTGCGCGTTATGTTGATGATGTCCTACAAACCCCTTTACTGCCGTATCTAGAGGGCCACCCAAACGTCCTTTTTCATAAATGCACGTCCCCATATTGCTCGTCGTACTGCGAACTTTCTTCAAGAAGCAGGCGTTAATGTTTTACCGTGCCACCGCTAATACACGAAGATCGAGCTTCTTGGAATGAGGTGCCACAACCAGATCACCTCATTTTGTCGATGCCTAGACGTATACAGGAGTGTACTCAGCTGCAGGGTCGTCCAACACATTATTATTTTTTCTTATTACTTGTCAATAAAATTTGGTGAGAATGTTATCGTTTCAATCTTGATGTAAGACACATTACCAAAAAATCAAGTTGAAGAAATAATTTTTTCTAATGTCTCAGAGAATAATTGTTCAACGCAACTCGTGACTCATCCATACTCAGTTCGGCTAGTGGTAAAAAGTGGTTAAGATGAGTCGCATGGTACGACTTGAGCCTTCAAACGCAAGGCATCAGCTTTGCAAAGAATATTATCAATTATAGTGCCGGAATTACGTTGGGTACGTGTCTGATCGATAATTTAGGGTAAAAACCATAGCAGCTGAATAAATTTGTACATGTAGCATTTCTGTCACCATAGCTTACGTCAAAATTTTAATTAAAATCTCCACATATAAAAGAAGGACTAGTACTATTTATTCTCAATTAAAAAATTCTCCAGATAATTGAAAAACATAGACACGTCAGAATTAGGCGACCTATAAATTCAAGCTAGAGATACTTTATTGCCATTATGGTCAATAGTTGTCAGCACATGCTCGAATGCAGATTCGCTTTTCACCACTTTACGTGATATTATTTTTGATTTTTATGACAATCGGCAACTAATGTCTGTGCCTCAGGCTCAATTTTTACGCAAAACTGACTTCTAAATTTGAATCTCATGACTTCGGTACCTAACGTTATCCAAGATGTAAATAATGTAGTTTCCCTTTAAGAGCCGCATCATCAATCGTCCCTACAATTTATTGTAGGACGCCTTTATGGCCTGCTTAATTTCCATAGTTTTTGCCATCCTTCAGAAAGGCATGGATATTTATAGATTTATACGTGTCAGAGCTTTGCGATCTTTAACTTATGTTGTATCAGCCTGAAATTCACAAGGAAAACGTAACCTCATAATAAGAAACCGCTGTCACTGTCACGGAACAGTAGAAATCTAGAAATACCCCAGCCTTTCTAAAGGAGAGAAAAGACTATAAAGTCAACGAGACCATAAAGGCGTCCTACAATTGTAGGAACGACTGACGATACGGCCAGAAATGTCTTAGTCACTTTTCTTAAAATTGATTCTCAGCTACCTAGATGTCCGTCTACTTCCTCCATAAAGTGCAGTTTCGCTTTAAATGCGTCCAAGTTAGGCCATCCAGTTGATAAAAGAACCACAACAATCGTGTATATTTTTCTAAAGAGGTTTTTCATAGACTTCTTTAATGTGAATTTTACTTACAGATAGGAAGTGCGCTCCTGATTCTTCTATGTGGCAACGCTGCTGGGGTCTGTACGCATTACCCGCGAGAAGTAGCCCAAAGGAAAGCATTTCTTGAAACAAGGCAATGCATCGAGGCTAGACTGAAAATACAGAGGGAAAATCAGCAGCAGGTACATAATTTTATTAATATGCTGGATGTAAATAAATTGTCTGTCCAATCTTCAACGGCAGATTCGTTAAACAGTCCTAAGACGAGAAGAATGTATATGAGCTCACAATTGCACCACTTTCTTCCTGAAATTTGTGACACATTGGGACACATAACATGTAAAAGTAAGAGTGTTACACCACTGCGCGTTGAAGTAACATTATAAATATTTATTGATTTGTTTCAACTTTTGTTTTTAATGTGAGCGTAGTTGGGCAACACCTACTTTTATTTTGTATATGGATTTTGCAATTCAGTGTATTTTATATTAAAACACGGGACTATGCGCTATATAAAGCTATACTAAGATAAATATTCGGAAATGGAGGAAATTTGAACAAACAGTCCAAAATTGCGAATTTTGGTCTTTTAAAAAATAATCAGGTACTAAAATAAGAAGAATAATGTCGATGAAAACTCTGAAATATTGAAATGCCAAAATTTCATAGATGCGATCAACTTGGAATTTAAGTTATTTTGAGGACCAAAAATCCCGCTTATAGTCCCTGATCCCTTGAGCAATTTCTAACAGGACAAGCTATTATGAGATCCTATATCTTGAAATCGAAGCCTTTCTAGACGTATGGTTATATGAACGTCTTTTGAGAAGCGCTCAAAGAAACGCCACTTGAGGTTTTGTTTACACCCTGTATATAAGCAGCCTCAATATTTCATACGCAAATAACACGAAGTACATCTAGACGTTTCGTGTAATTTTTCCTTTGTTATTGATAGTCGTGCATGCAAAAATTTTTAAATCTTTGTGAAGTTCAACATTTGGTGGGTTGAGTAGATCAATGGTAAATTCTGCAATGTAAAATCTGCAGCCATAGAGGGCGTTGCGAATGCTTAAATATCGAAACCTTTTGATTTCGGTAGTGGTGCCTGACAATTGTATATGACATTATTTTCCAGCCTACTTTCTGCCGGTAAATCTTGCGATGTTTAGTACCAATTGAAAATGTTCTGGTAGAGATACTTGGTAGATCAAAGCAAGCCACTCGCTTTTCATCTATTACTTCTGGAGAATGAGGTTTCCTCCTACTGAATGTCCCATGTTTTATTGCTCATTCAGATAAACCCTTAAATAATGAAACTAATGTAACATACTATAACGTTTTAATGATGATGCCGAGTCGCCATCTTTCAACTTTTATTTTTACGTGAACATAGTATTCATGCAACAGTTTCATCATCTGTTCAAAAAAGCCCTGTATTTGTATTGGATAACAATAGACACATTCACAGACTGGAATACATGGGATCGTTCATCACAAGCGATGGCAAGTTGACAGAATTCGCTAACATTTGCTATTATGTCCAGCACTATTTGGTTGCTTATATCATTCAACATGTAGTACGCCTGAATAATTACCCAGCGGCCAAATGTCGTATGATAAAGGCGAACACCAACATCATTGTTTTCCTGCTGGAATCGTTTGAATTTATTGTAAACTGCGCGGTAATCCCTAACCCCAAGCATCTGTGATGTATCGATCTTTGCGCCGAGTTGAATACAGTTAGCAGGTAGTTTAGAGCTGGAGGAGTCTCCAGGTGTTATCTCTGTGGTAATATATTTAGTTTGGGGTCCGACAACCCTCCCGCATGACCTCGTTCCGGTTCGCTCATGTGTATGCATTCACCGCTTGCATGTCCGCCGTCTGGAACCTGCTTCTGACCCTTTGATCTATTCCGGCATACAGGCCGTCCGGCCATCAAGGAAATGCGGAAGGAAATCGGCGTTTGAGGGCTGTAGAATAGTCGAAGTACCCAAAAAATTATGCATTCTTTGACCATGTAAAGTGAAACATCCATTATACAGGGTGTTTTGGAGGTTAAGGCTTTTCTTGTTAGTTTCAGATACGCCGTAAACAACAAAGCTAATATGCAGTATATCAGCAGTGAAAAAGTAAAATAATAATTTGAAGAAATGCTCACCAATTATTTGATAAACCATTATCCAGTGTTCGATTCTAAAATTATAAGTTTGTGCCCCACGATTGCACTTTTCTTGAAAACAATCAATGTGATGTAACATCATATACCTATGCACACTCGCTATTGCTATAGGAGCATACGTTTTTCTGTTTTCCTTCTAAATCCGACTTGTGAAGTGTTTACCTGCACACACGATGCATATGTTGAATTATGGAGGCCATCTTTTCAGCAGGATCGGATTTAGTACAGCAGATTTCTCTTGAATCTATCTGGGTTGTCTTAAGCGTGTAGTGAACGTGTAACTAGGCAAATTTACTTTAATGCAAAGTTATAAGCTTATAATCATGAATGTTAATTTTGGTCCAAGGTTCTGGTGTTCAGAATTATACGTGTATGGGTCAATTTTGTCGGTTACGTGTCAGTATCATACGAAATAATTGAACCGGTATACTGAGAAATGATAAATTTCTCATTGAGCGCCTCCTAATGGCTAAAAAGCAACTAAAGTAAACATCTTAACCTTCATTAGAAGCAAGTAATAACGCCTTTCCAAGCGAAACGAAGACTATGAACCTCAACAATGTCAACCAGAAGTTACACTACTTCCTCTGAAACGGCCTTGAGCCATTTACCCTCCCTGTACCAATTGAGTTACGATAAATATAAATTATTGTATTGACAAATACCTTCACAAATCGCGACTACTACCCACATCGCATCAATTAGGAAGTGATGTACAAGATTCCAGATACTTTTAAAATAAGTATTGCTGATACCAGATACAAAAGACTTTCTGGAATGGTATCTGAAATACTAGATACAAAATACGAATTTTTTAAATATTTCCAAAGGTAAAATACTTTTGTAATAATACAGCATTTTATTGAGTTTATTTTACTACATGAACTATTTACTCGTTGATCGCGCATGTGTGACAAAATATGATACTTTTAAGGTTTTAATTAAGACAAGTAGAACCAGTTCTTGAAAAATTTTATCCCGCCAAAACTAGGTTCAGTCGTAGTTTATGAGACCTAAAGGTGAAGTTCTTTGCACTTTGGTGTTTGGTTGCAATTGTTGTTTGGGCGCCACCTAGTTTCCAATCAAATTTATAACAAGTATCACTGTTGGGATTCTGGAGTTAAAAGAGACACCAACTCGCAAGGTACACAGGCATTTCTTGACAAAAAAAAATAAAAAGATTAATGCGAAGTCCTGGAGGACAGGCTAGCGAGAATGAATGAAATGCGAAAGGCTAAATAGTAGTAGCTCACAGGACTGTGAACCCCTTCTGAAGATGCCAACCAGTCGTCTAGGCTAAACGTAAAATAAAAATATTTTAGGATGGCCTCACTACCCAAAAACCAACCAAATAGCATTAACGAGAATAAATTTGTGTATTACCTCCGCTAAATGGTTACAATAAAAAAATTAAAAAACCTTGGATATCCCGAACAGCAACCAAGGGTGGGAAATCCCAGATGCTACCCCAAAACCGGAGGGTAGAACCGGATGGTAAAACTGGATGGTAGAACTGGAGGGTAAAACCCTCGAACAATGAGGGTTCTCCAAAAATGGGAAACTGATCCTCACAGGAGTGAGTCCCAATCAAACTCGCCTTGGACTAGCCCTGAGGCGGTTCCTCTCAGCTCGACGGTTGAGTGTAGTTATCTGCACGGTTAAATCCTCAAGAGGGTGACAAAAAGGTTCCGACAAGAAAAAAACACCAAGGGGGCCGACTTCTAGCAAAAACCACCCCACCAGCCTTTAAAACTCGCAACTCAACGTGTGAACTATTCACAGAATCGGGCAGTGGACCGCAGAAAATTACTACACCAGAGCACCGGAAATAGCTCCAAGTCACCTTTAGGTCTCGTATTTACGGTTGTCAGAAATTATTAAAAATGAACGAGATGGATAGTAGAATACGATTTACCACCTACAATATTTAAGCATCAATATTTAACCTTTACAAAAAAATTTCTAGAAATAGTCAGGAGTGTCTAAAGCCTACAAAAGTTTCAGCGACTTTTATTTTTTAGTTGTCTCGTGTGTAATAATTTTATCAAAATCGAAGCAGCACAGTTGTAGGTGGGCAAAGGATTAGCGGAGAGACAGATAGACACACCAACAGAAACAGTTTTTAGCAACATACAACATGTCATGTAATATCAAATATATATATATATATATATATAGGTGAAAAATAAAGCTTCCGCCTTTTGTTGGGTACTTCGACAAAATTCAAGCAAAGAGGACTCCTTATACTTTATTAATCTCTAGCTTTCAATGGACTTTGCCATCTTCATCAGGAGCTGCTATAACATTGAGAAGAAATAGCAACTATAGTGCAAAATGATTTTAAATTAACTTACAGTCGTATGTTAGATTGTTGCTAAATGTTATCAACGTTTAGGTTGACGGAAACAACCAGTAACCTGGTGAACGCTGGATACATGGTACATTCGTCAAAATTAATATAAGCTACACACAGCTGAATGTCAGGAACAAATTAAAATGGACTAAAAGTATTTAAAACGGAAGTTAAAATTACATCGTGAACCACCTGATGTTGCACAAGATGGTGGGCACAGGATCACAAGTAGGATGAAATATTTGACAGCAGACAGAAAGTTGGTGGTGTCAGTGTCGATGGATGGAACGGAAATTTGTAAAGTGTGTACTGTGTTGCCAAATCACTTCAGATGGTGTTATGTATCAAGATATATTAAATAAGAACTTGTCAGCAGACCAGAGGCAGTTGAACAAACTGTAATACAATATAATATGCGTGTATCTACAGGCTGTTACATAATATTGAGGGTAAACTGTAAGGCATCTACTCGTATGTAGTGCTCAAACTTATAGGGTATCCGCCATGAAATGCCCGTGACATGTCACCAGATGCAATCAAATGAGATCAAAATTACGCCAAACCTATGGGACACTGTCCAGGTCAAGCTTCCTTCATTGTAGCTTTTTTAGTAAGAATGTATGGAGTACAACTGGGAGTGCGTAGATTTACAGAAAAGGTTGTTATTTTAAAATTGGATACATAGAAGGTGCTCAAAATTTGAGTAGATATACTTGAAGAATTCGGTCGCACTAGTGGGAAAATCTGACACTAGATGGCGCTACAGAAACGGAATCTGTAAAACATCATGTGTCATTGATGAATTGGGGATCTCGCCGTTAGATGGCGCCGAGGATGACGCCATGCGTTATTGA